CAGTCTGTGGTCCCAGAGCTGGAATCTAAGCCAGAGCACATGGATAAGCCATGAGGACAAAGGAGGACATTCCAAGTAATATTACTATATCAGCCAAGATCCCAATAAAAAACAGAGGACACACTCAAACTGAATAATTAGAAGGAATTTTAATAAAGAGGCTATTTACAAAGATGTGGGGAGGGTTTAAGGAATCGAATACGGCAGAAATCTGGCCCTAGCCACAGAGAGATCCTTCACCACCCCAAGGACTACAGAGAAGGCTGCCTGATAGGAGATGTGGCCTCCGGGCCCACCTTCCTCCCCTCTCCCCCTGCCCTCCAGTTTCCTGCTGCTTGCCTCCTATTGGCCAAGCAAAAGCCAGAGTGCAAGGAAGCCACCGATGCTGTGTAAATACATCATCTTCCTGGGGCACAGAGCAGGGTGGGGAGTGGATGTGGAGGGGCAAACAAGATATCCGGAACAAGTACGTGGGAAAATGGAAGTGAATGGATAAGAGCATGCGTGAGTTTCTTATTGCTGCTGTCACAAATTTGGTGGCTTAAAACAACACAAATTTATTATCTTACAGTTTGGGGAGCTAGAAGTCCAAAGCAGGTTTCATCAGGCTAAAATCAATGCATTCCTTTCTGAAGGCTCTGGGGGAGAATCCACTTCCTTGTCTTTTCCAGTTTCTCTAGAGCCCCCCTCTCTGCCCCTTCCTCCACCTTCAAAACAATTGCATCTGCTTCTGTGGTCACATCTTGTTCTCTGACTCCTGCTTTCTGCTTTCTTCTTTTAAGAGCCCTTGTGATTAGTGGAGCCCACCCAGATAACCCAGGATAACCGCCCCAGTTAAAAAATTTGTATTTAATCACACTGGTCTCTTTGCCATGTAAGTAACATTCCCAGGTTCCGGGAATTAGCACAGGGCATCTTTAGGGGGGCATTATTCTGCCTACAATTTAGAGTGAATAAACAAACCATTTAGACTGGATTGGAGGGCTCCCTAGGAAAGTAATGAAAACAGGAAGCGCAGATCAAAGCCGAATTATGGAAGCTTTAAATGCTAAACTGTCTGAATGTTTTTCTATAGAGAAGAAGGAGCCACTGTAAGTCCTCCACCAGGGTAGTGGCTTGTTAGCAGTGTTAAGAAAGATGATCTGACCGTGGTGCTCTGGGTGTCTTAGAGGGAAGAACAGAAACCTTTCAAGATGCAATTAGAGTAGTCCAGGCCCAGCGGAACAAAAGTCTGAAACAAGAATGACAGGAAGGGATGGTGTGAAAAGTACAGTGCAGTAAGATTCTACAAGAGGGCTAACCACTGGACATGGAAGGAAGGGGAGGAATCTGAGCTTTGGAAGTGTCTCACTGGTAGATTAATGGTACGATCTAGAAAATCAGGAGAGCAAATCTGTTTCCGGGGAAGATGAGTTGGGGTATAGTCGTAGAGTCCTGGAATAGCAATACAAATAGAATCTTATCCATGTTAAGATGCTGCCTATTGTAAACACATGAATATTTTATGTGCCACTAAGGAAAGATTAAAATATGGTACATGCCTTCTTAAATATACAATTTTTACTTTATTGAAAGAGCTATCTTAGCCTTACACCCAGATTTTTGAAGTCTTTTAATTGACATACAATAAATTGCACATATTTAAAGTGTATACAGTTTGATATGTTTTGACATACGCATGCATCTGTGACACTATCAGCACAATCAAGGTAGTTCATAACCCCATATTGCCTCTTTTTTAATAATATGTTTTTATTTTTTATTTTATTTTATTTTTTAAAAAATATATTTTATTGATTTTTTTACAGAGAGGAAGGGAGAGAGATAGAGAGTTAGAAACATCGATGAGAGAGAAACATCGATCAGCTGCCTCCTGCACATCTCCTACTGGGGATGTGCCCGCAACCCAGATACATGCCCTTGACCGGAATCGAACCTGGGACCCTTCAGTCCGCAGGCCGATGCTCTATCCACTGAGCCAAACCGGTTTCGGCATGTTTTTATTTTTTAATTAGAGTTGAGGTACAGTATAGTTTCAGGTGCACCACCCAGTGATTGGACATTTATATAACTTACAAAGTGATCATCCTGATAAATCTAGTACCATCTAACACCATACATAGTCATTATAATATTGCTGGCTATATTTCCTATGCTGTACTTTATATCCCCATGACTATTCTGTACCTACTAATCTGTACTTTTTTTTAAAATTCTTGTTGTTGAAAGTATTACATATATTCCCTTTATTCCCGCTAGCCC